TGTTTAGCAGCTGTGTGGAAGTGTGTGAGGGGGAGGTGGTGGTTTAGGGTGTGTGTATCCCATATGCTAGGAACATTCCCCTCGAAACTCTTGTTCCTAGAGTTCGTCTCATTTGCTGAGAATGCCTCCTCCTCGCCCTCCCTCCATCCCACCTCCCAAAGGCAGTGCCAACTTTCCCTCTCAACAGTGCTCTCCTGGCTCCTCTCTGCAGGACTACGACTGAGCTCTAGCTCCTTCAATATTAGCTCCTACCTTCTTGGGGACACTCTTTCTGGGCACCCCTGCCCCAGAGTCCTGTCTTCTCAGAGCACATACTCATTTGGCACCACTCATTTGGCACTTAGAATGGACCACTACCTAGTATTTATATATTTTTCTTTCACTGTGTCCCCCCAGCTAGAATGAACCCCCTTGAGAGCAGGCCCCATATTTTGCATCTAATCACAGCTGGTGAGCTCAGCCCAGTGCCCTGTCCCCAGCAGGTGTTTATATGCTCAGGCTGCTGCTTCTTAGTCCTACCTGAGCCTGCCTCCCTGCCTGGCCTGTGTATACGTGTGGACGTCCCTCTCCCCTTGTAGGTGGCTGTGGCGTGGGAAACCTGACAGAGCCAGTGGCCGTTTCGCTGCGGCACTGGGCTGAGGGGGCCGAACCTGTGGCAGCTTCGTGGAGCCAGGAGGGGCCTGGGGGGCCTGGGGGCTGGAGCTCCGAAGGCTGCCAGCTCCGCTCCAGCCAGCCCAATGTCAGCTCCCTGCACTGCCAGCACTTGGGCAATGTGGCCGTGCTCATGGTGGGTAAACTGGGGCCGAGGGGCAGAGGGCAAGGGAACAAGGGAATGTGGGCCAGGTACTCCGATCACCTGCGGCCACAGAGAAGTAAAGGCCGGCAGCCTTACCCAGCCCATAACTGGACTCGGGGGGACTATTCCTCTGGTCTCTCCTACACCTCTCCACCTTTCAGGAGACAGGGAGGTCCTGCCTCCACTCCTACATCAAGAGAGATGGATCTGGAACGAAACTGCCTGACCTTCAAATCCTGCACTTTCTGAGACCCAGATCCTTAAAATGGGGGGAAAAAATTGGGGAATATTTCTCCTCTCTCTGGTCACCCTCCTCACTCACCCCCGTTCTCTCTCCCTCATCACACATCCCCCTCACTTTCCCAGAACCGGAGCAGCATGCAGCTGTATTACAGACAGAACCTTCTGCCTCTTTTCTCACCTCTGATTGTTCAGGCTGGGGATCTCAAAACTCTCCAGAAAGACAGGATAATAGGGGGTGGAGGCAGACAGCAGGTTGTTAGGGCTACTTAAGACCGATTTTCTAAGCGTGGACGTACTGATGCTTACATCCTTATCAGCGCCAAGGCTGATGGGGCTTGGGAAAGGAAAACAGGCCTGAGGACTGGTGAGGTCTCCACTGACAGCCTCTGCTCCTGGTTTCCTAATACTCACTTCCTCTTTCTCGCCCTTCCTCAGGAGCTGAGTGCTTTTCCCCGGGAGGCAGGGGGTTCCGGGGCAGGGCTGCATCCTGTTGTGTACCCCTGCACAGCCCTACTACTACTCTGCCTCTTCTCCACCATCATCACCTATATCCTCAACCACAGGTGGGTGCTTCTTCAGGGAGGGGGCGCTCTGGTGGGAAGGCAGTGAGTGTCACTAAGTATTGGCAAGTGTTTCTTTCTCGGGTGGGTCCACATGACTTTCTCAGGCTCTGGTCTTTGAAGGTTCTGGGGTTGGAAACCACATTTTGGGGGTTGAGGACTTCCTGCCCTGTGACTTCTATCACATACACACCCCTCTATGCACACAGATAGCTGTCTGCCCCCCTTTGGCTCTCCCAATGGCCTGGCCTTAGGTCGGGGCAAGGGGTGGGCATTAACCAAAGACTGTTTCTGGGGCAGCTCCATCCACGTCTCCCGGAAAGGCTGGCACATGCTGCTGAACCTCTGCTTCCATATGGCCATGACCTCTGCCGTCTTTGCGGGGGGCATCACACTCACCAACTACCAGGTGGTCTGCCAGGCGGTAAGCAAAAGGGGCTTGGGCTTGGTGGGGTGGGCAGCAGCATCAGCTCCAAGGTTAGTGATGGCTGCCTAGGCATAGGGTAGGGAGCTGCACAGGAAGAAAAGGGAGGCTCATGTGAATAGGCCCCAGCTCCACATTCTCTCTGTGTCCAGCCTGGCTGGGGAGGCGGGAGGGGGTTGAGGGGGTGGGAGGGTAAGAATCAGGTCAGATAAAATAGGAGACGGGACGTAAAAGTGGAGAGTGGGGACCTGCAATGGAGAGGTCAGGAATGAGCCAGACAGCAAATGACAGGGCCACGGAGAATCCTCAGAGTGGAAGAGAACCCTGGGGTGAAGTAGAGAGGGTAACAGCAAGGACAGAGCCCTGAGGAGTATCTGGGTAGTGGGCTGGGTACAGTAAGAGCCATGGAGTTGGGGGCTGGGAGGATGATGCTCTGGGACAGCCCAGTAGTAGCAGCCCAGGTGCCCCCACCTCAGTGCCTTGACCACACAGGTGGGCATCACTCTGCACTACTCTTCATTGTCTACACTGCTCTGGATGGGTGTGAAGGCCCGAGTCCTCCACAAGGAGCTCACCTGGAGGGAGCCTCCTCCACAAGAAGGGGACTCTGCCCTGCCTGCTCCCCGCCCTATGCTCCGGTACGTTCTTCCACGTGTCAGCTGTGCAACAGTAGAGGGTCTTGGAGAGGGGTGTAGGACATCAAAATCTGCCCACACAGCGTGGATGCAAGGCGGTTCTAAGGTCCCTGGGAGATCACTCTCCTCTCCAAGGAAAGAAGAAGCAAGGCCTGAGGTGGCACCAGGCTGCACAAGGCCACAGAGCGGGTACATCCTAGGGCCTTTCAGCCATGACAACATCAGGGTGATAGTGACTCCAAAGGTCATTAGGCAGGAACCCAAAGAATCTGAGTGGCACCCCTGACTGCTGCACTATTTAGGGCAAGAGAGGGCAATTCTGGATTTCTGTCCTTTGGAACAATCTTGACCGAGTCCCCTAGGGACCTACCAGACCTGAATCCCTGGCAAAATATTCTGCCAGAATTTCAAGGGGAAGGAGGATGGGACAGAGATTACTGAGTCCAAGGGTTCCAAGCACCTGGTTCCTCCTTCTCCCCTTCCCCACTCTCTGACCCCCAAACCCCAATCCTCTCCAGGTTCTATTTGATCGCTGGAGGGATCCCACTCATTATCTGTGGCATCACGGCTGCTGTCAACATCCACAACTACCAGGACCACAGCCCGTAGTGAGTACACTCCCACCTGCCCTAGCGCTGCTCCCTGCCTGCCTCCAAACCTACCCAATCCGGCACCAGATGCTTTTAGTCTATTAGCAGGGGCACCTGCCAGGGACTACCCAGCCAGTGACCCAACCCAAGCCCATGCATGTTGATTACACCAGTCTCTCCCTCTCCACTCACCTATCCTCTACCTCCACAACCACCTCAGCCTATAGGCCCCGCCCTAGACATGCTCCCCCTCCTCACCCACTGCCTCTGTGTCTCCCCTCAGCTGCTGGCTGGTGTGGCGTCCAAGCCTAGGAGCCTTCTACATTCCCGTGGCTTTAATTCTGCTGGTCACCTGGATCTACTTCCTGTGTGCAGGGCTGCGCTTACGGGGTCCTCTGGCACAGAACCCAAAGGGGCGTAACAGCAGGGTCTCCCTGGAACCAGGGGAGGAGTTGAGGGGTTCCACCAGGCTTAGGAGCAGTGGCCCCCTTCTGACTGACTCAGGTTCCCTTCTGGCTGCTGGGAGTTCGGGCGTGGCAACGCCTGGGCCCCTGGAGAATGGTGACGGCCTGTACTCTCCGGGAGTCCAGCTGGGGGCGCTGGTGACCACGCATTTCCTATACCTGGCCATGTGGGCCTGCGGAGCCCTGGCGGTGTCCCAGCGCTGGCTGCCCCGCGTGGTGTGCAGCTGTCTGTACGGGGTGGCGGCCTCCGCCCTGGGCCTCTTCGTCTTCACCCATCACTGTGCCAGGCGCAGAGACGTGAGGGCCTCCTGGCGCGCCTGCTGCCCCCCTGCCTCGGCCTCGGCTTCCCACGCCCCACCCCGGGCCCTGCCGGCCGCCCCAGAGGACGGTTCCCTAGTGTTCGGGGAGGGCCATGCCTCCCTCAAGTCCTCCCCGAGCAGCAGCAGCGGCCACGCGCCACCCCTGGGACCCTGCAAGCTCACCAACCTGCAGCTGGCCCAGAGTCAGGTGTGCGAGGCAGGGGTGGCAGCCCGCGGGGAAGGGGAGCCGGAGCCCACGGGCTCCCGGGGGAGCCTCGCTCCACGCCATCCCAACAACTTGTCCCACGGGCGCCGAGTGCACAAGAGCCGGGCCAAAGGGCACCGCGCGGGGGAAGCGGGCGGCAAGAACCGGCTCAAGGCCCTGCGCGGGGGCGCGCCTGCGAGCGCGGCGGCCGGGGCGCCGGAGCTGCTGAGCAGCGAAAGCGGCAGCCTGCGCAACAGTCCGTCCGAGAGCTACCCGGGCAGCAGCCGCAACAGCCCTGGCTCCGGCCGCCAGCACGAGGGCGAGCCCATGCTCACGCCGTCGGAAGGCAGCGACACGAGCACAGCGCCGCTCCCCGAGGCGGGGCGGCCGGGCCAGCGCCGCAGCACCAGTCGCGACAATCTCAAGGGCGGTGGGGGCGGGGGCGGGGCGCTGGAGAAGGAGAGCAAGCGCCGCTCGTACCCGCTCAACACCGCCAGTCTGAACGGCGCCCCCAAGGGGGGCAAGTACGATGACATCAATATGCCAGGCGCGGAGGCGACTGGAGGCAGCTGCATGAAGACGGGCCTCTGGAAGAGCGAGACCACTGTCTAGGATGGGGGTGGACGACACTTTAGGCAAGCCGGCCCCGGGCTTCTTACCCCCGGCTCCTCAAAGGCGTCTTTTGGTACGTCAACAGATCGGAGGTAGAGGTGCCCGTGACTCACCCGCTTTAGTACTGGAAGCCAGGGGCCACTTTCCAAGAGGGCCATCCTTCTGGGGTAGCAACAATCCCAGAACATATGTGTGATACATTTCCGTCCCAGCCCAGGCTAGTTCTGGCGGCCATGTTATTGGGGCCTACAGAGGTAGGCGGAACAAGTCCCGTCAGTCTGTAGTAACCCAGGAGCAGGGTGGAAGGGCACAGCGCAGCCCAGGTGGGCTCCTCCTTAGGTACTCCCCCGTCCATCCACACTGCCTCATTGGTGGTGGTCAGCCTTATCAGAATAACATGATGGAGTTTGGGGACTGCCTTCTCTCTCTCCTCACTGCCCTCCAAGTCAGCCCAGTCCGTGCCAAGACCTAGGACCCCTCCTACCCAGGTTTTGGCTGATAAGGGAAGAGCCAGCCTAGTGGATAAGCCAGGTGACAAGGACTAATGGGAGGTAGTAAGGTGCTGCTTTTCAGGTTAACTATGCAAGGGGGGAAGATGGGGCAGTGTGAAAGGCAGCTTTGGAGATCACCAGTCCTGTGGAAGGGTAGCTGGCATAAAGAGTGCACAATTAGGGATAAAAACACCATTCTCATGAAGAGTGCCACACAAACCTTACACAAGGCTGAGGGGGTACTTCATGACAGGGTTAAGGCCCTAGACCTAAAAAGCTGACTCTGCCAGATGTCTGAGGATTGTCTGAGGGAAGTAGAGGGAGCTGGTACTTGGATCTAGTCATGACCTAAACTTCGTCCCATAAACAATGAAGAGGGACTCCACTGTATGGCTGCGGGTGGTATTGGGAGCAGCACTTATTGTTCAATTACAAGACCCATATCCCCACTCTCAGCCTTCCAACACCAAGGGACTGAGTAAGAGCACTTCCTCGCCTCAGTGAGGCCACAAGGAAGTACTGTTCCCAGTAACTCAATCTCTAGATCCACAGTTCTGGAGAAACCCCCAACACATGAAACCAGCTTCCTGACTCAGAAGCCCAAGCCGAACACCGCAGTAGTGGCTAGGGTCCCTGCAGCTCAGCTGGGGCCTGTGCCTTCTACTTTCAAACACCAGCACCCATATTTCCCCAACCTAAAAAGCAACCACCAGCCTTTTATTGTAGGGCCAAACGAAAGTGGAGGGAACCTTGGGCCTGTTGAAGAGTAACAGAAAGCCCAGGTCCAGGTCCCCTCCCAGGCTCCATGCCACCCCAGCCCAATCACAAGGTGAAAGAGGGCGCAGGGGAGGGGGAAAGCCCACACTTCTTAGGATGGATCCTGTTATTTATGCTTGCTGCACTGACAGTATTAGAAAGAAAAAAAAAAAACGCTTTGTATTATTCTTCCACATATGCTGGCTGCTGTTTACGTACCCCGCCAATGCCTTAGCACTGGAGAGCTTTTTGCAATACGCTGGGGAGAGGGGAGGGACGGTATGAAAAGTGCCAAAGAAAACATGTTTTTGAAAGCTCGGGTTTTATACAATAGAATGTTTTCTAGCAGATGCCTCTTGTTTTAATATATTAAAATTTTGCAAAGTCCTTTGAGCTATAGCCTTAGTCCAGCCACAATCCTTTTTATTATGAGGTAGAAGATCTCATGACACCATACACACAAACCCACCAACACCTGTGAAGGGATACAGGGTTGAGCGTTCCCCCAGGTCCTGCCCCTCTGAAATGCCAACAGTTCCACAAACAGCAGGAAGCCCCATCAGGCCCGCAGCAGCATCAGCAGCAGTGTGTCCAGTTCAACGTGGGAGCAAGAGCGCGCCTGATTATTTCCCAGCCGCTTAAGAAGAAAGCATCCTATTGCCTATAAATATATGTAACTTGCTCTCTGACACAGGATGTGAGTTCCTCTCCAACCCATGGTCATCCCTGCAATCCTCCTGGGTTCTACTCCAGAACCTGCAGTCGAACTAATCATACAGCCCCTCTTGGTTCCTTCGAACAAGAAAGATAACACCTAAGGTCTCATACACACTTCTCTGGATACGACAGGGCCTGTTATCAAGCTGCCATCAGAATGGGGTGAAGTGCCCCCTACTGGATGTGCATCACAGTGGGTTAGGAACACTCTTGGCAGCCTGGCTAGCAGCCTGGGCTCTCTGAAAGTCCCTAACTTCCTCAGGGGTACGCAAGTACTGCTCTATTTCACTATCGGAAATATTCTCATCTCCAGTGACTGTGCAGACGGCAGGTGTGGGCCGGAGCTGCTTTGGGGGCTTCAGCATACAAGGCGGGAGGAGAAGGGCGGGACTAGGTGGTCGCTTCCGCACAGGCAAATCTAAGGAACTATTCCCCACCTCCTCTTCTCCCTGTCTTTGCCCCTGCAACTCCCTCTCATAGGCCTCCCTCTCTCCTGCTGCATCCCGAAAGGCCTTGCGGACCAGGGTGTGGCGGTGCTGGAGAAGGTCCCCAATGTGCTTCACCACAGACCGTTTGTTGAGTTTCAGGATCTGCAACCAGGCCAGCTGCTCAGCCATCCGCAGCAGCACAGTCAGCAACTCCTGCAGGCGGGATGAAGCAGGGTAGGGCAGGTCCACGTTTGCCAGTTTACAAAATCGGGCAAGGGAACATGTCAGACGTCCTGAAGGCTGCAGTGACTGCCAGGCCAGAAAAGCCGCCGCAGTGATGACAGGCAAAGGGTGTCGTCCGGTCACCAGCCATGTCTCATTCGCTAACTCCACTAACTGCAGTGTTCGTGACAGCATCTTCTCTTTGTCTTCCACGTATTTGGCTGGCACAGACGGGGAGGCTTGGAACAGTTTGAAGCTGAAATAACCAAAATGAGGGCTGGTTTCAGTAATTACTATGGGGGGCTGTTCTTCCAAGGAGAGAAAGAACAGTCCACTCAAGATGGGGAAGCCTTTCCCTTGGAACACTCAACTTGCTGGACAGCAAGTTTATACAGGGTTAGCCTTCTGCTTGTTCGGTGAAGGGAAAGAGAATGCAGAAGAAGGCTAACAATTCTATCGAGCACCTCCCAGTCAGCCATTACTCTGACTGCTTTATAAATGCTCTCGTTTAATCCACACTACAGCCTATTATCTGCATTTATAGTTAAAAAACTTGCCCACACTTAGCAGCCTTCAAACTTAAGGCTATGTGACACCAATAGCCTTTGCTTTCTACTATATTTGTAAGCAAAAAGAAATGAGAGAGCTTACTTAAAAAATTTTTTTTTTTAAAGATTAGCTTCTAACCCCAGCCCTGTCATTTATTAATACCCTTTGAGCTCCATTCACAGGTGATCCCGCTGAGGCAGGGCTGCTTCATATAGCCACGCAGGCCCTGCACTGCACAACTCCAGGAAATGCCATTCCCAAAGAGTACAAGGTGAGCGGTAAAACACCACAGCCCTGTGCTAAGGCTAATACCTACCTTCCCTACATCATTAAGTTACTTTGTCAAGGAGTTTGAAAATTATAGCATCACAGAAACGTAAAACGGGATTGACGTTATTAGTACTAGGCACAAGACAGAGAAAATGAATGTTTTTCCCACATCCTTTTAAATGGGCTTGGGACAAAAAGAGACAGCCAAAGGTAAGAAGATTTAGATGTCAGGAACAGGCATCCATCCCATCCCAGTGTCTCCCCCCTAGGCAAGCACCTGCTACAGTAAGTCTTCACTAGGTCTGCCAAGCACAGAGATGGTACATCCAGTCCCAGAAGCTTCACTATCTGCATGTAGGTACCAGAAAACACATCCAAATCAGCATATATCAGGGTGCAGATGGTTCCTATGGTCAGGGGCCAGTTATGCTGCCGGCAGGTGATTAAGACACAGCATCCAACCAACACCTCCTTCTTTTGCAGCCTGGCAGCACGAATGCCAGAGAGCCGGTACGCCTGCTGGTAGTAGGCAACTGCTGTGTCCTCGAATGTCAATGGTAACTGCAGAACTCGACAAAGGTCTCTCACTCGGCAGAGACCTAAGAAAACAAAGAGTTAGAGGGGATCCAAGGAGCTACTGTGTAGCTCCTAAGAAGTTCTGCTAAAGTGGCCTTAGATGCCAGAGTCACAAATACTGTAGCTTTCTACACTGACAGGAGTGACACTTGGTGTGGTCATTCTAAAGACACAAAGAAATTTACGGAAAGAAATCACATTTCAGCCCACCATTTTTTGCAGGCTGGTTGGATTCAGGGCCAAGTCAAACTTTTATCCAGGCTCCTTGAGGCCGCCTCAAACATACCCGAGTAGACTCAACCCTTATACTGAACTGCTACCTCTCAGAACCATCCCCATCTTTTATTTCTAATTATCATTCTTTTCTACTCTATCCTACACCAAGGAGCCCTGGTGGCACAATGGTTAAGGGCTTAGCTGCTAACTATAAGGTTGGCGGTTCAAACCACCCAATGGCTCTTTGGGAGAAAGACTTGGCCATCTGCTTCTATAAACATTACAGCCTAGACGACCCTATGGGGCAGTCATACACTGTCACATGGGGTCGCTGTGAGTTGAAATCAACTTGACAGCATCCAACAACAAGCACCCTACACCAGTAATGCTGAAAACAGAAAAGGCAAGCAGATTGGCTTGGCCTCCAGCATAATTTTCTTTAAAGACACCGTGTCATAAAAGGGTCGATTCTCACCTCGCTGCTGGCTGCGACTAACTTGTTCATTTTCTCCTGTGCTTCGGGAATACGCTACCTCTGTAAGACAATGAACACAAATAGCTTGTTTAGCCTTTAGTTCCCAGACTCGTGCCCTCCCACATGAGGCCAGGGAGCAGAATTCAAATCACTGAGCATCTGCTCCATGACTCACAGAAGACACCCATCTATGCACACAACTGGCCATTCAGTTTTCTATGTCCACAAGCAGTGCGAAACACACACCGATGAGGAAACGTAGGACTGCACTAAAGTGGCCCAACTGTTCCAAATTTTCAGTCATCCTTCCTGAACATATAACCCAGGCAATTTTCCTGGCTGCAGAGGTCAGGGACTTGGAGGGCAAAGGAAAAAAAAAAAAAGACGTGTTTTTGCCAATTAGTGCTAAAAACCACTTAGGGTAATAGTATGTGCTTTATTCCTAAAGAATTAACCCACAGTCCTTCCACCACGACCATACCACGCAAGTTGAGTGGAACTTTATTTCCCTCTGTTTTATTCATTCAGCATTTATTATACCCACTACATATGCCGGATACTGTACTATATGCTAGGGAAACACAGATAAATAGCAGTCCCGGCTTCCTGCAGCTCACTCGTTTACTTTGGGCCGTTTTCTCCCATATTTAAGTGTGCACGCGGCAGGCAACGGGAGAAAGGTAAGATGTCAATCCCTCCACCGTCCCTGGTTGTCCCCCGGGCCCGAAGAAGGCCAGGCATAGGTACCTCGGAGGTTACCCTCGTCTGCGAAGGTGGTGGTAAGGACCCCCTCGGTGACCACGCAGCCGCAGTCGGAGCACACCAGCTGGCTCTGAGAATAGTGCGAGTCCTCCACGAGCTCTGTGGAGTCACAGTCGGGGCAGCGGCGTCCGCCTGGCATCTCACAATCTGCTCAGGGCCGACCGTGGGGTTCTTCGCCAGCGCCAACAGCAATGGTACAACAGCAGAAAACAGTACCGGACGCTTCGAAGGTTGCACCTTCCTCTTCCGGCCAGCACCACGGCGGAAGAGGTGGTGCCCTCCGCTCTGCAGCAGCGCGCCACTTCCGGTCTGTTCATCTTTTGACTCGGGTGGAAACGTGAGCTAGGACACGAGGTTCCTAAGCTGAACTGCTTCTCCGAGTTGCCGGCTCTCTCAAGTTAGTTTGAAGTGGGGACAGACTGGGGCGTTAATTTGGGCGAACTGTCTACGTACACATGTATAATAGACAAGAAATTGTTGCTACCCCGGAACAATCCTCCTTTCTAAAGCACTAGGGTAATCGCAGATTCTCCATTTCTCTGTGGCAGTGTATGTTGATTTTGGCCCTAGTAGAAAGTATGTTTCTAAAACGCAGAGCAGTGCAGTGAGAGAGTAGGAAATTGTGTTCCACTTCCCAGAGGTGCTTCCCCAGGCAAATTATTTTCTCTCTTTGAGGCCTATTTTTCTCAACTGTAGAATGAGGGAGTTGAATTAAAATCCTGGGTGACAAGCTCAAACGCCCTCGGAGGCTAGCCAAGGAATGTCTAATGGTGTTTGGAGTGAAAAAACGTGGAGTGGTCAGGCCTTTGGTAAACTGGAGAGAGTAGAAGCAAATTCAGATGTTTTTAAAACCTTGAGCTTAAAGATGCTTGAAGTTTGATTCTGGCCCCAAAGTTCCTTGCTTGTAATAGTATATATCAAAGAATCTTGAGCAAAACTGTGCCTCTAGTTATGTTATTACAGAAATGCATAGAACACGATAAAAGACAAAACCAAGCTTACAAATTTGAAATTGGCATGTCGTATTTGAATATCAATTAAAGTCACCAAAAAGAGAATGTATTTTCTTATAAGTAAATCTTAATTATGCTCATTTAAAAGAAAGATTTTGAAGCTTGGAAGTTTTAGATTCAATTTTGCCTGGAATAGAAGAAGATTGTTACATGACAAGGACGACCAAAGGCCTGTCCCTTGTGAGTGCAAGAAAGCAGATGTGGGTAATCATAGCAAGTGCTGGAACTGTGCGTGGAGAATTTCTGTTTCTCAGGAGAAAATCTCAAGTAGAATTTCAGGTAGGCCCCTGGCATTAACAGATTTTAGAAGCTGTTGTGCATTTACTTTTATCCTAGCATTGTGGATTGGGGGTGGAGGGAGAGATCAGCACTTCCAGTTGAGAAGAGTAAATGACTGGACAGCTCCTGCACAGAATGAATTGAGGGATAATAAGGGTGTCTTGTCAGCCCCTTAACAAATAGGCTTGCTCCCTTGAGGAATAAGATACAGGTTACAGCTACCTTCTTTAGAATACCAATAGATTGTATGCAACCCAGAACTGAAAAAAAAATTCAAAAAAGAAAAACGGTGCTTATCAGTCTGAAGAGATGAGCAGGCACAATGGCCCCGTACCTAGTGACTCCTCAAACAAAGGATTTGAGCCTCAAAAAGAAAGAATCTGATCAGGCAGGGCTACAGGCTCTTTTGAAAGAGCCATCATCAGTGTTCAGGTAGAGAGGGCTCCCTCTATGCCCAATGAAACTGAGTTCTCTGGACCACAGTGGAGACCAAGGTCATCACGGACAAAAATATTTCACGTATAACGCAAACATCAGCCTTTTCTGCATCAAATGTCACTTTTCTCTAGTATAAATTTAGAAAGAGATGATGCACTCTACAAGAACTGTCCACTCAGCAAAAGCACCTCTGACTCACAAGTCCCTTCTTCCTGCTCACAGCTACTCCATGGCCCCTCCTCCCTTGCTACTGGATGACAGACATTCCTGCACCTCAGACCTCAGGGGACTGGCAGGATGCTGCCTCTGTTGACTGAGCAATGGCTAACCCTAGAACACAAAGTCGCCAAACTTCCACTCTTTCATGACTGTTAACAGGTTTTACTGAGGAGCTGAAGAACTTAAAGTGATTATAATATAGGTGGAAAAAATGTTTAGAAAATTGGAACCTTCACAAGACTGTCTTCACAGTTCAAGTGGAAAGCATTAACAAAACAAAAGAAAAACAGCTTTACCAGGTGTCAGCCCCTTCTTTTCCACACCTAGTTTCCATCCTTGGTATCCAGATTTGGGGCACTCCCCCCACAAGAGACTGTCTTCTCAGAATGTGAGAATCCCTACTTCTTTTTAGAGAAATCCCATCCTCTACTTCAGGGCTTGATCACACTGGAGGTCCTCCCCAACCCCAACCGAGAGACGTAATAATCCCCAACAGTCCACTCCCTAAACTTTGAATTATTCACTCTAGCCCCACGTTACAAGGGGCTTCAGCACAATGGCACGGGATCGGCTTTGGCATTCTTTTTTTTTTTTTTTGGTTTGATTTTTTTTCTTTTTTTATTGTGCTTTAGATGAAGGTTTACACAGCAAATTAGTTTCTCATTAAACTATTAATACACATATTGTTTTGTGTCATTGGTTGGCAACCCCATGACATGTCAACACTCTCCCCTTCTCAACCTTGAGTTTCCTATTGTCAGCTTTCCTGTCCCCTCCTGCCTTCTCATCCTTCCCCCTGGGTTGCTGTGTCCATTTAGTCTCATTTTGTTTTATGGGCCTGTCTAATCTTTGGCTGAAGGGTGAATCTTAGGAGTGACTTCATTACTGAACTAAAATGGTGTCCAGGGGCCATACTCTCAGGGTTTCTCCACTCTCTGTCGGACCAGTAGGTCTGGTCTTTTTTTTATGAGTTAGAACTTTGTTCTACATTTTTCTCCAGCTCTGTCCGGGACCCTCTATTGTGATCCCTGTCAGAGAGAGCAGTCGGTGGTGGTAGCCGGGCACCATCTAGTTGTGCTGGACTCAGTCTGGTGGAGGCTGTGGTACTTGTGGTCCATGAGTCCTTTGGACTAATCGTTCCCATGTGTCTTTGGTTTTCTTCATGGCTTTGGCATTTGAAGTCCCCTCTCTTCTAGATTCCCCATTAGTGTGAAGTGTGAGATAAGGATTTATTTCAGCTTGTCCAGCAGGTGAATATTGAAACACATTTGCTTGTGCATGTGTGCACGTCTTTACCCCGCCTCGGAGACATTCATTAATTTTAGATGGTGCAGTTGACATCTGTACTAGGGAAGGGAAACATGTCCTTAAAAGCAACATCATTAGCATTGGGGTGTAGTTCTTTACGTTATTATACAGAACAATGTCAGACTTCTCTCATCCCCAACTTTGTGCAGATCTTGGATCCTAATTGCATTAAAAAAAAAAAGTTAGATTTTGTTACAGAGCCATCTACCCATGACAGAAGCCTTGAAATTACATTTTCCCGAACAGTACTCACTGTAAAGTGGAAGAGAGTTTTATGATCCTCTAACCAGCAACTTTAAAGGGAAAGAGAGGGGACGTAGTGTAAGACAGTCTTCTTTCAGACACAAACAGGTGCTAGAGCTGACTGGGAAGTGGGCAGGATCCAGGCCAGTAGGTGGCGCTCCCCACTACGACGTTTAAGTCCGTGAGTCTCTGCTTTCTCGAGAAGTATTTATTTGGGAAAAATACTTAGCTTGCTCCCGGAAATCGGGACAGACACACCATCCTCGGTGCCCTCTCTCCTGCTACAAACTCTCCTAAGAGTTATCACTGTTCAATGACGGATGATTATTTCTTTAACAGAACCCCTCAACCTTCCTGGACTGTGAAGCTGGGACCGTGTTTCTGCTCTCTGTATTGCCAGATCGTGCCTGGCACACAGGCTTTCAGAATGCTGAGTGCCCAGAATGGGCTGGGTTTGAGCAGGAAGCTACTGGAGACGGGAGGCCATTGTCCAAATGTGAAATGCTAGCGTGGAGGCCAGGGTTCTTTCTAGAGGGGAGACTAAGAAGGAAGGCATAGAAGCAGCTACAGATTGGATTGTGTCCCCAAAAAAGAAATGTGGAAGTCTTCGCCTCTATACTTAAAAATATGATCCTGTTTGGAAAGGTGTTCCTTTGTTATGTTAATGAGGGCATAACACAATTAGGTCATAACAGAGTAAGGTCGGTCCTAAACCCTATCACTCAGAAGTGTCTTATAACAAGAGCAGCATGGATAGGCACAGAGACACACACGGGAGAAAGACAGGGAGGGCTGGCACACCGTGAAGTGCTGCTCAGTCCCTGGGTGGGCTTGTCATCTGTACCAAATAGACTGCATTCCTCAGAGGCAAGATTGTTCTCATCTAGAGCAAGTGGTGAGGGATGGGCTACACTTGAGGTCCTTAATCCAGCCTCACTGCTGTGCTCCACCCAGCTCAGTTTACTGAACTTTGTGACTCTGAGTACACTCTTATCATTACACTAAGCCGAGCAATTGGCTCAGGACTTCAGCCTTCCTGACTGGGTTTCCTCTCCACCACTGCAGTTCTTTAGTGGACATCCGTTCTTCTGGAACACCTGCTGTGAGGTAGCCACAGTAGAGCACAGCCAGGGCTTCCTGAATACTGGTGTCAAACACTTTTCCTCTCTCATACTCAGTTTCCCCTTCTGCATTGTTTCTTCTGTCCCCTCACCTAGCCTGAGGACTAATGTGTTCAATTCCTTGAACTCCTAGGAACAAAGGCATCTGGTAACTACAAGAAGGCAATCACAGGCCCCGTTCACTGCACACACTCAGAGCATACATACCAGACACCGTGCCTGGAACTGCTCTCCTCTGGGAACCTGTGGCTTTATCTGGCCACATGGAAAGTCCTGAGAGAGGATTAAGTTACACGGTCTCCGTTTTCCTGCCTGCTCCAATCCTCCACAATTCCAAGTGAATCACATCATTATCTCTTTGGCAGAATGATCCTAGACTAGGAGTTGGAAAACTTATTCCGTAAAGAGCCAGAGGGTAAAAACTTTACATTTTGCGGATGATAAAGTCTGCGTGACAGTTATTCACTTCCGCTGTTGTAGCATGAAAACAGCCATTGACAATTATGAAAATGAATGAGTGTGGCTGTGTTCCTATAAAACTGTATTTATGGACACCGAAATTTGAATTCTGTATAATTTGCACGTCATGAAATTTTTTTTGATTTTTTAAAATTATTTAAAAAGGTAAAAACAATTAACTTGAGGGCCATACAAAAACAGGAGGTAGCTGTAGCTTGCTGAGTGAGCTCTGTTCTAGACCTTCCATGTTGATGGCATGATGAGTTCAGATTCTTTCTTAACCACTTTCTAACTGGGTGACCTTGGGCAACCGAAGGTCTTTATACCTCTTGAAGTCTCAGTTTCCTGATCTGCATAATGGAGATGGTATCTACCTTGATGAGAATTAGGAATAGTATATGTCAGTGCTCAGTACATAGTAGGAAATCAATAAACAGGCCTTCCTTTTGCAGCCAAAGTTTAGCCTGAAGGCAGCACCTGATGGGCAAGGACAAAAGCAGCTTTCTCTCAACTCTGTGAGGGCCAGAGCACTGTCACCAGGATGACTATTTCAAGGGCTCGCAATACTGGTAAAATAATCAAAAACCGAAAGGCTAAGTGAGGACATCCTCCCTAAGGATAGGTTTAGGCTGTGGGATATGCAGACCGCCCAATGCTAAGTAAGCCATCTTTGAGCCTGAGGTGGTGCCCACTGCCTTCCCAGGACCAAGAGGGGGCTACAGAACCCAAAAGATGACCCCTGAAGAGAAGCCTAGGGGAAGGGACACATTTGTTTAGAGACTGAGTTCAAGGACTAGGAGAGGCTGTGCTGTAGATCCTGCTGACCCTTGGGTCGTGGTTGAAGAGCAACAACCATACCCTTTAAGTGACTTTTTCCGTTTGGGGGTTGTGGGGGAGGGCGCTCCCCCAGCAAGTCCCCATTCTGCTCCAGAGGCGGCCAAGGTCATCCTTGCAGTCACCACAGCCCTTCTGAGGTAAAGGGTTGTTCACTGGGGTAAGCTCTCCCTCAGAATCACTATCAGTACTTGTTGCTGAAGACCATCTACAGGCATGGAGAAATGTTCAAAACAGTATGTACTGTGTGACCCTCATCTTTTGTTTTAAAGTGTATTCACTTGTATGAGGGAAAAAAACTGGAACAACGTCAAAGTAACATTGGTTACCTCTGGGTAGTGAGGGAAATTATGATTTTCCTTTTTCTTTTCTAAACATAAACATGTGTACATTAGAAAAATCTACAGACTGAATGAGCAGACAGGGGCGTGGAGGGAGGGGAAGGGCAGTGTCTACTGCTTCTCCAAAGATGACAAGGGAAGAACCTGAGGCCACCCGGCAGAGATAGGCAGGTGCCTACCAAGTCCCCTGACCTTTGGAGCTTGACTTCCTTCAGCTCAGATACTTGGGATTTGGGAAAACTTCACTTTTTATACACCCTAGAATGTTTTCCTTTATTTTTGGTATTGCTTTTAAAGATTTCTGTTACTAGCAGCTGGGGTGAAGGGACTCCAAAGAAAGGAAGGGGTTGTATCCTTGCTTGGCTGGAGTTTTAAAGATACAACTGTCTGCTGCTAAGGGCTGGGGTTTGGTGGCAGTAGTAGGAACCTTGTGGGGTTCAGTGGTAGAATTCTCCCCTTTCATGTGGGAGACCCGGGTTCAAATCCTGGCCAATGCACCTCATGCACAGCTACCACCCGTCTCAGTGGAGGCTGGTGTGTTGCTATGAATGCTGAACAGGTTTCAATGGAGCTTTCAGACTAAGACTAGCAAGAAAGTCTTGGTGATCCATTTCTGAAAATCAGCCAGTGAAAACCCTATGGATCACAACAGTCCAATCCACAATCAAACGTGGGGATGGTGTAGTACCAGGTAGGGCTTCGTTCTGCTGTGCACAGGGTCATCAGTTGGGGGCTGACTTGATGGCAACCAACCACCACCACCACCACCAGTAGGAACCACATTGAAAGAATTCCAAAAGCAAGAGAAATGAATCTTGAAGGGAAAAGTTGGGGTCACTTGTATAATTCACTTCTTCCTTGGAGGACTTTTTTGATCAAACCTGGAGGACTTTGTGTTTTATTAAGAGAATCTGTTTTCATATCAGTACATGGTGGCCCCACCATTGACATCAACCAGCCCCTCCACCGAAACCAGGGATGTCTTCAGGGAGGCCCCACATCCCTCCTCCCCAGGAACTTCCCAGGCACTGCCTGCCTCTATCCCTCTACAATGTGACTTTTATCCCTAAGAAAGAAAAAGTATCTCCCCCTTTCAAGAAGTCTGGGATCCTTGAGCATGGACTATCCTTGGGGCAGGCACACCCACTGCTCTCCATCAGGAAAGGCTCAGAGTTTGGGAGAGTTGAGCTCAGGGGACTCCTTGTATAGCCCTCTGCTTAGAAACGGATAAACTAACTTGACTGGACCAGAGACCTGGTTCCCAGATCTGCAGCAGTTCTGACACCAACTGGAATTAAACTCATGCCCCCAAAGTAAAGAGTCTTTGGGCAATTGGTGGCGAGGAAAGAAGTCAAAGAAGGGCCCTGGCTCACGTGCTCAGCCAAAGGCACCCGACACAAAAGAAAAGGGTGACGCTTTGAGCACCGCTATGAAGCCCTGGTGGCGCACTGGTTAAGTGTTCGCTGCTAACCAAAAGGTCAGCAGTTCGAATCCACCAGCCGCTCCTTGGAAACCGTATGGGGCAGTTCTACGCTGTCCTGTAGGGTCACTAGGCGTTGGAACTGACTTGATGGCAATGGGCTTTTGGTTTTGGTTTTGGCATTGGTGGCAAAACTTCAAATGATATTACGCGGTGAATGCCGTGGTCCCTCAGGCCGGGATGAGGGCGTGTCACAGGGGTCAGAGCTGTCCTGTCCTCTGAGGAAGAAAGGCGTGGGGGGCTCCAGAGTTCCCAAGTCACGTTTCAGGGGTTGGAGAAGGAATTTTTATTGCACGCATACTAAACTACAGACACACATTTTTTACAGGTAGTACCATTTTATTTAGTGTTCTAGGAAATTTTAGGTTACTTCTCAAAAACAAAACCCAAGAAATTCAAAGTTCCCAAAGTAACAAAGCTGGAAAGTAATAATTTTGGAATCCAAAAACGCTAGGTGATCCTTCAGTTGCGGGAGGAGGCCAATTCAGCAGCTCACATAGCTGATACCAAGAAACCACAGAGCTGAGGTTGGTGTGGATACTAGGTTAGGTTCTCCACCTAAGGCAATTAACCTTTCAGCCTTGAGGGATCATTAACTAGTAGTTCTAAAAAAGCAAAAAAGGTTGGCTGGGAGAAGAGGCCCAGGGAGGGGTGGGCCTGCATAATTTAACATTAAATTGCCTCTAGCTGTCAATACATTAAGTGGCTAACTATCACAGACCTTGCTCCCTCTCTGCCCTTTTAAGCTCCTACTGTTAGCAACGCTGGAACCCCCCCACACTTACCCCATTCACACATCATACCTCTCCACTCAGTGTCAACGCTGTTCAGCATGGTGAAGAGCACACTTTCTTTCTCCTCCACTCTGCTACCCTGATGAGGTTAGCACATTGAGATAAAGGGAGGCAGGACACTTGTCAAAGTCCCAGGAATGAGATGATATACAACAATCGGGCAAAGGACGGGCATTTTTTCAGGAAGCTGGCCTCCAGTTAAAGTTGACTGAGTAGTGTTTGGTATTTAATGTGATGCTTCCTGAAAGTACTGACTGGTCTTTCTGGAGGTAGCTGGCAAGGCGCTCCTGGTGCTACAGAGCACAAGCCTCCTCCCAGAGCATCAGTGAGGGTGGCATTTAAACAGCTCGAGGCAAGTCCTAGCTCTCTCCTTGTCTCACCAGGCTTGTACCCTTAGACACACCCAGTCATCAGTGCTTCAAGGATAGTTATTACCTGAATGACCTCCAGGCTATCTACATAGTGAGGTGCAGGAATGCTACAGACTGCATTTTTTTCCAGCTGTAGAAGGAGACGGAGACCCTTGAAGTAAAGTGTCCTTCTTTCTCCAGAGTTCCCAAGTGGCATTCCTGAGCACAGAAATTCACTCCTCCACCCAGAGATGTCCTTCTCAAACACTCAGTAACAGACTCGAGGTCCTAACAGCAGGTATCTCCAGACCAATCCCCTCTCGTGAACAACGCAGGCCTCCATGCCGGCTCTCCCAAGGAAGAGAAGCCACTCAGTGTACACCTGCCGCCTAGCACGCTTGGGCTATCACAGTAAAAATACATTTGTATCAAGTAAAAAACATAATATGGAACAAATATATACATGTACGTTTTCAGAGTTCAAGTGAATAAACAGTTTTCTGTCTAGGTATGTAAATATATTTCCTAGCACTACAAAAATACAAGTCATCTGAGAAGTTTACAATGGTCCCCAACACTGTAAGAGAGTGTTAAATAAAATAGCTGTAGACAATTAAAGGCTAATTAGATAAATCAAGTTACAGTAATATCCTTCAGATTAAAGTGCTCCCAGGTGACCGACGCTGCTGTCAAAAGCATCTTGAAAAGAGATCCCACTGCCCACATCTCTGCTCTTAGCCTCAACATAACAACGTACATAGAAGACAGTCCCAATTAATTAACTGCTATCATGTCACCCCTGCCCACCCCAATGGCCGGTGATCTTCTCTCCTCAGGGCAGATGTCAAGATTTGATGAGATTCTATCACACCCAGGAGAAAAGATGACCGATATGGAAACGTTCTGATTTCAAGACTAGGTTACTAGCAATGAGGTTAGCTGAAAAACCTGAACTGGTGCTATTACTTAAGAAGAAGGTAGGTGTCCTAAAAAAAATGCGTGTATTAATTTAAAAAAGAAAAAAATACAGCAATCCAAAAGTAAGTACCATCATCCCGCTCTTCACGATTTGATAACAAGAATGTCTGAGTCTCTTCATGAAGGGAAAATGAAAAAGCAGCAGCTTTTCTGCTTCTACTGGCTTTTAAATTGTATTTACTAGATTAAGCCCCTCACCACAACTTCCTGTGTTCTGGAAGTAGCCTGGGTATCTGTTCCAGCAGGCCCAAGAAGAATTCAGAGGATAGCCACATGGACCCAGTTCAAGCCCCTCAGGGTCTGACCCCGTGACTCACCACGGCCTGCACAACCAAGGGGCTTCTTCATCTGGGAGGAGTTGGTGGGCCCTGTTCCCCTCCAGGAAATGCTGCTAAGGAAACCAGGCAGCCAAACAAAGACATCACGAAATGGCCAAAGGAATCCTACTGAAGTCATTCCATACCTGACAGAACTGTTTATGTAAGTGCCTGGATGAGCCAAGCCCTTATCAAGGCACTTAATAGGCCATTCTAGCCAGCAGGAATGCTGCTATCACCAGAGGGGAACTCTGACCAGCTTCCCTTAATTGAAGGAAAAGTGATTCTCTAATTCCCTAGTCTGCAGGTCATATCTCCAGTAGAAGGGACCATGAACCTACATGGAGCATATTTTAATGTTGGAGAGTAGTGAAAGCTAATTAGAAAAGGAAGTTTGTTCAAAATCTAAAAGGCACACTCAGAGGTTTTCCCTAAACGCCTCTGTTCTGGTCAAAAACAAACAAAATAACCCAACAAGAGCCGAGTGTGAGAAGCCCGTGAGTTTACATGGTATCAAAATTTAGCATCTGTGACGAGAAAGTCACACCTGACCTACTCACAAGCCAAGAAAGCATGAGTAACAGCACCAGCACGATCCTTCTGATTTCATCCTAAGTTTTAATGGCTGGAAGATATGTATTTTAAAACTTCAATATCAAAGAAAGAAAACCCTGGAGTTAGAATACACTAATACCTCCTGTGCCATCTGAATCTCTGGCCCAGGATCAGATCTTATGACTATGTGTCTGGTGGGCATAAAATAGTCACAACATAGTTAAAGGCACAGTGGCATTTAACAATAAAACCCTGGGAACCTACCAGGAAAAGCTTCATTGTAATAATTAACCTGACTTCAACTGGTAGAACTGACTCTTGCCAGATAACATGCAAAGGAGATAGTGATTTGGAGCCTGTTTGCTGGTTATCGGGCATACTGAGTCCTTGACTTTGAGAGCAGCTGGCAACAAACTCACAAAACCATTTCAGTGCTTTATTCTGGCGGTTCACATCTTTCCCGCCTTTGTGCCGACCTGAGCTGGGACGCAGAGGATGTTGGGGGTTTCTTCCATGACTCTGACCAGCAGATTGTCAATGTACTCTTCCAGCTCTCGGACGTGGAACTCCTTCTTGCTGATTGTTTCCTTCTGCTGCAGGACCAACTGGACCAGCTCGTCATGGGTCAGCTGGGAGTACGCAGAAGTGGGGTCCGAGGGGCTGTGTTTCTTCGGAGAGGGGGGAAAGGAGAAAAAAAACTTATAAAGTCAACACAGAAACCAAGCATCTAAAAGAAATACAAAAAAGGCAAATTAGTGATCTGGGTGTCCTGGGGATCTGTGTTTTCAATTTAGGTGGAAAATAGGCTGTCGACTGACGAAGTTTAAAGACCACACCAGGGATGGCAAACTTCTCTGTAAAGAGCCAGACACTAAATCTTTTAGGCTTTGCCGGCCACATATGGCCTTTGTTGCACATTCTTCTCTGTTTTTTAACTTAGCAGTTACTGTGGAGTCGACCCTGACTCACAGTGACCCCGTGTGTGTCAGCGTAAAACTGTGCTCTATAGGTTTTCAAAGGCTGATTTTTCAGAAGTAGATCGCCAGGTCTTTCTTCTGAGGAGCTTCTGGGTAGAATCAAACCGCCAACCTTTCGGTCAGCAGCCAAGTGCAATAACTGTTTGCACCACCCAGGGATTCCTTTAGCAACCATACTTAGCATGCAGGCTGCAGACCCCTGGACTAGACTCTAGGTCCGGGGTTTAAGAAATGTAATCACTGGAGCACTCCATCCTCCAAATGAGTGTCCGTGCCTCCGTGAACACTGAAAGCTCGCATAGCCCAGCACCAGTGCAGGGCTGAGCAACAAGCCCCAAGCCCGACGGGCCCATGAAGATAGAAAATGAGTGCTTTCCTTCCAACACAACAGGTCGTGCCTAGCCCAGGCTCTCTGCCCCTAGCCAAGTGACACTCAGAGGATTCAGTGATGAGATGGAAGCGGGAGCCCTCAGAGACCTCATCTGCAATCATTTCACACTCATACTTTATTGGCGTTTATAATCTGGGATGACCGGAGTCCAACTGCAATCTGACAAGGCCCAAACCATTAGGAAATACAAGATAAGGATTAAAATAAAAAGTAACATGTCGTACCAAGTCTCCAGGAACCACTCACCCACCCACTGCTGTCCAGTGGATTCCGACTCAGAGCGACCCTATAGGGCAGAGTAGAACTGTCCCAACAGGAGAAAAAACTAATTTTTAGCCCTGTCTGGAGCAAGGGAGAATGAAGAAAACCAAAGACACGAGGGAAAGATTAGTCCAAAGGACTAATGGACCACAACTACCACGGCCTCCACCAGACTGAGTCCAGCACAACTAGATGGTACCCGGCTACCAGCACCAACTACTCTGACAGGGATCACAATAGAGGGTCCAAGACAGAGCTGGAGAAAAATGTAGAACAAAATTCTAATTCACAAAAAAAGACCAGACTTACTGGGCTGACAGAGATTGGAGAAACCCCAAGAGTATGGTCCCTGGGCACCCTTTTAACTCAGTACTGAAGTCACTCCTGAGGTTCACCCTTTAGCCAAAGATGAGACAGGCCCATGAAACAAACAATAATACACGTAGCTCAACCATGTATATAAGACTAAATGGGCATATCAGCCCAGGGGCAAGGACAAGAAGGCAGGAGGGGACAGGAAAGCTGGATGAATGGATATGGGCAACCCAAGGTAGAGAAGGGGAGAATGTTGACATGTCGTGGGGTTGGCAACCAATGTTACAAAATAATACGTGTATTAATTGTTTAATGATAAATAATTTGCTCTGTAAACCTACATCTAAAACACAATTTAAAAAAAAAAAGAAAGGAAAAAAAAAACCCTCATTTTTTCTGGCTCAGGAGTTTACAAGTTTAAAAAAAAAGTCCTAGAGCAACTTCAAAACACGTTTGCCCATAGAACTCCGAGGCCTGCCCTAAGGGTATGACAGTTTTTACTGCCTAACAGGGAGGACAGGAGGCGCCTTCTACAAGCAGCAGCCAAGTCAAGAGCAGAGTCGGTGCTCACTCTTGGGTGGCAACGTGGCAGAAGCCCTGCCAGTCTAGTGAAGCAAGCTGCGTACACACAGCCAGAATCCAGGGGAGAAATCCCACCTCTGGTATCCTGCCCAGGAAGCAAAGCATGCTGACTACAATACTAGCTTAGAAACTCACACACAGACATTTTCATATACACGGAGAGTTTTAACCTAGTACAGGACAGGCTGCACATAAATAGTAAGAGGTAACTTTTCAAAAAACTGCTTCTCCTTTAATCCTTTTTTTTTTTTTTTTTTTTTAAACTTACTGAAAGCATACATTCACAGAGAACATCTGGACCTCGATCACTCTGTTTCTGACTTCAAAAGCAGTATTAAACCAAAAAGCAACATGTTTACATTTCATATGAAGAAAAACAGTAATCTTTGTCTGCAGTAGCCAAGAATATGCCCTCAAGGTTTTTCAGGTTATATCTCTGTCATATAAGGATTTTCTCTCTTTGAAAAATGAGATACTCTGCAAGGGAGCTTGGAAGATAGAAAGATGAAGAGGCTGGCAATGGATAGTGAAGACCAGGTAGGCGCTCCTGGAGGGCAGGGGCCAGGGTTTGCAATTTGCCAACTCCAGGTCCGCACAGCATCCAACATACACGGCGCAATGCCAAGAATACAAGGCACAGAGTCCACAGAGGTCCAACATGCTTTAGGAGCCTGGACAGGCAAGAATCACTGTTTCACAGGTGATCAAAACAAACTTCAATGATGGGAGTGCCATCTGAACTAGACCTTGAAGCATGTTAAAACTGGTTTTCCCCCAAAATAACAGGATTTTTAAAAATCATTATTATAAAAAGAATATTTGCTCATCATAGAAAAATCTCAACCACAGAACGATGAAAAAATCATTAGCTATAATTCTGACACATAACATTGAGGTCTCTTATTTTTCCTGGGTTTGCTCATGTTTTACAATTTTAGCATCATACATAAAATACTTTCATAGCTTTTCTTTTATACTTATTATTTTGTGAGCATTTTCACATCATTAAATTTTAGCAAAAATTGCTTTAATAGCTGCTTAAAATTCGATTATATTTTAACCAATCCTCTATTGCTGGATATTTAGGCTGTTTTCAATTAAAACGCAGGAATTTAAATCTTTGGCCATATCTCATGTACATATCTGTATAGGGTAAGTGCCTATGAAAAGCCAAGCACATGTAAGGTAATACAAACTGTCAAAGAGCTACTGAATTTGGATTCTGAAATCCAAAGGGGGGAGGGGGTGTATGTACGTACACATGTATAAGTATATGAAAGATTTTTAAATCATGAGAAAATCCTATTTATGTGATGATTTTTAAAAATTATAAAACAATCCAGCACTACATAAAAGTAAGCAACTGTGGAGGAAAGGGCAAGGCAGAGAAAAAATACCTGCTAATAGGAAAAAAAACCCAATGGTGCCCGTTATCATGTATTTCCTGTCAGGAGTTTTACGCTGGATTTTGTTTTTACAGTTATAATAATGAGGTACATTGAAATATGTGTCCAACGCTTTCCATATAATATGACAGATGGGTTTTTGGATCTAGTTGCCTTCACTATTTTAAAATGGAAGTGCTAAAGCCACCTGAGCAAATACTATACCCCTAGTTATAAATCATCTATAAAGGGCGGAGGCCCTAAAAAAAATAAGAAAAGAAAAAACAAGCCATTGTAGTAACGATCCAGCTAGCTTTTCGTAACTTTAGCTGTGCAATTTCGTTCTTTAACCTCCCTCTTACTTTGCAACATCCTCAAGAATGGCTTTTGGGTTTTGTTTTTTGGAAATATTGTCTTAAGCCTTATTACAAAGTGTCTATATGGCAGGCCAATAACAGAGTCTCCAGGAAACCTGCCATACTTACTCAGAGTATTTACTAGGTATGCATGGTCCAAGAGCTGGGTTGCAGATGGGCAGAGGGGCAGACACAGGGCTTAGAAATCATGAGCAAACCAAGCAGCAGTTGCCTTTGCTTTAAGACAAGTTACTCTCCCAATCGAAGGAGCCCTGGTGGCACAGTGGTTAAGTGCTCGGCTGCTAACCAAAAGGTCGGTGGGTCAAGCCCACCAGCCACTCCATGTGAAAAAGATGTGGCAGTCTGCTTCCATAAAGATTACAGCCTTGGAAACCCACTGAGGCATTTCTACTCTGCCCTATAGCGGCCCTATGAGTCAGCACACAACAACGACTCTCCCAATCAGTACCAGGAGACAAGCCCCTGATTAAATGCACTTTGAAGGGTAAATAAAATGGGAGCCAAAGGTCTGGCTAACTTCCCAAAAGCTAGGTGTTTGTCTCTCTTTGGAGCCAAGCTGCACTCCACACTAAAAGGAAGGGCGGATGGGAGGCTGCTGAATGATCCTAGGTATCGTGACCATCTCTTACGCTGGTTATGCTGACATCTTTATTCTGTTCTTTTGCCCAATTTCCTGGTAAATATCATTAACTCCAGGAAGACAAGTGCTGCCTTTTCCACCTGCAACACAGAGGCCAGCCAAGCTGAGCTGGTCAACTTAGAGTACACTTTATGGGCTGGGCCTAACACATAGTTGGCACACAGTTCTGGTTAGGGCTGCTAGCTTTGAAAATGACAGTGACCATCTGCCTTGTCCACAAGCACTACAAGGGAAGAAAGGGCAAGAGGGTGAGAAGATGTTAACTTGTTTTCAGCAATAATTAATTACTGCTGAATATCAAAAAACCAAACCCATTGTGGTCAAGTCGATTCTGACTCATAGCAATCCTATAGGGCAGAGTAGAACTGCCCCAGAGGGTTTCCAAGGAGCAGCCAGTGGATTCAAACCAACGGCCTTTTAGTTAGCAGCCAAGCTCTTAACCACTGTGCCAGATAAAATATAAATAATTATTGCTAAATAAAAATAAAGTTTATTTGTACAGACTGTAGTCCCTAGTAGTCGATTAGGAAGTCCCTCTCCACGTATTTGAAATACAATACATCGTTACAAACTTAAGGTCACCAATTCCTTAGTAAATCATCCTCTCCTAGTCCATGTGACATTGAATCAGAGAAAACCAGGGGTTTGCAAGAAGGCAGTATTCTAAATCCTTCTGGTTTTATAACCAAAAAGGGCAGGATGAAGACACCCTAAAGCAGAGATCATCAAGGATGTAATCTGGGAGACTGGTTTTGTTTTTATGGAGAGCGGCTTTTTTTTAATGTTAACTTCATGTTTTTGAAGGAGAGGAAATCCTCTAATCCACTTAATACTCTTCCTGGCAATTTAGCTTAACGACATAATCTAAAAGAAGAGACAAAAGTTCTATACTAGAAATTGTTTATGACAGTGTTATTCATATGGAAAACGGAAAACAATGTAAATATGCAATAAAAGGGGAATAGTTAAGTAAATATTGGTATAACCATTTCAAAGAATAATCAAGTAGCAACATGCAGAAAAGCTTATGATATACTATAAAGTGAAAAAGAGAATTCAAGAGTGTTTCCATGTATGTGACAGAGCTGGCAAATCATCGTTTTGTAACCCACCATATTCATCGATGGACACTGGAAGTCTGAAGTGAAAGCTTGTTGAGGAGCAGGATATTTACATAGTACCAAATCATTTCCCCACAAATCACTCATTAGTTGTAAAGAAAAAAAAACAGCAACTTTACAGTGGAGAACCTGGCAGACACCACCTAAACTAAGTCATCCGCGTTAACACCCCACTAACGGGACAAAACAATATCATGCGCCTCCTTAAATGATGCACCAAGAAGGACACATGACTTGTGTAGTTAATTCCTGTCAAGAACGAACATAACCTCAACCAAATCATAAGGAAACATCAGACAAACCCAAACTGAGGAAAAGTCTACAGAACAATGGATTTAAACTCTTTAAAAAGTCAATGTCTTAAAAGACAAAGACAGACTGAGGAAGTGTTCCAGAACAAAGGAGAGTAAAGAAACACGGAGAAGGCTTGGTGGCACAATGGTTAAGCACTCGACTGCTAACTGACAGAGCAGCAGTTCGAAACCACCAGCCATTCTGTGGGACAAAAGACCTGGCGATTTGCTCCTGTAAAGATCTCAGCCCAGGAAACCCTACAGGGAGGCTCTACTCTGTCCTAGAGGGTCGCTATGGGTCAGAATCGACTTGATGGCACACAACGACAACAACAAAAGAGACAAGAGGAATCCCTGGGTGGCACTAACAGTTAAATGCTCAACTAGACGAAAGGTTGGCAGTTTGAACCCACCCAGAGGCACCTCAAAAGACAGGCCTGGCGATCTGCTTCTGAAAGGTCATAGCCTTGAAAATCCCTTGGAGCAGTTGAAACACAACACATCCTTACAAACTTAAGGTCATCAATTCCTTAGTAAATCATTCTCTCCCAGTCTGTGTGATACTGAGTCAGAGAAGACCAGGGGTTGCCATGAGTCAGAATAGACTTGACAACTGACAACAACAGAGACAAGAAAACTATATGCAACCAACAATCATGGATTGGATCCTTGACTGGGGGGGAAAAGAAAACAACTAAAACTAAGAAGGACACTACTGGGACAACTGATCAAATTGAAATACAGATTATAGCTAAGAAAATAGCATTATGTTGATGCTAAATTTCCTACTTTTGAAAAATGTCATGACAGTATTCTTACGGTTTACACAGTTTTTTAAGGGGAAAGGGACCTGATAAGGCAACTTACTCTCAAATAGTTCAGAAAAAAAATAATATATGAATATGTGTAAGCATATACATAGTGAGGAGGGGGAGAAAGAGTGAGGGAGAGACTGATAAAGCAAATCTGGTAAAATGTTTCCAACTGTTGAATCAGGTTGAAGGACACATAGGAGTTCTTTGTACTATTCTTGCAACTTTTTATCACTTTGAAATGATTTCAAAATAAAGTTACAAAAAAAGTACATTCACATAATGAATACAACTACAGTTATACATTCTTACTGAAAGATAAGAAAGGAAACATGGGGAAATGCAAATATCTGCTCTGAATGGACCAGATTGTGGGTGACATTTTCTTCTCATTAAAAAGAAGTGCTGGAGTCAATCATGTTCCTTTAGACACAAAAAATTAAACAATAACTACATAATTATAAGGGAAACAGTAATTATCTAATGGAAAATCTAGGGGCTTCCAAAGGCTATCCAAAGACACTCGAAGTAAGATTAAACTAGGCCTGGCATTACCTGTTATCAAGGAAATGTACCTAACGATGACTCTAGAAATGGTTTTTTGGTAGAATCCTAACTACCATGCCAACTTCTTAGAGCAGACATACCTTCATCATGGCTTCATTGATCAAGTTCTCACTGATGATGGTGGCAGTTCCCAAGGTGGAGTTAGCAACCTTCGTGGCTGTTGTGTTCATTGGCTTCACAGGATGAAGTCTAAGGAGAAGGAAAAAAGGGATCCTTAGACTTCTCGGTAATGGCAGAACTGAGAAACTGCCCATCTCAAAGATGGCAGCCAGCAAGATCGACAAGGAGGGCAACTGGCAACACACTGTGCTCACATCTCCAATCCAACACACTCCAACATCTAAGTTCCTGTGAAATTAAAGAAGTCAGAACCAGGCAGCCACATGCAAGCCAGCAAAGCATACCCTTGGTCAGGGGTCTTGATGTTTGCACAAGACCTTTGTCTCATTATGAGTATCAGGAGAACATAAAAGGCAGTCTCTTACTGTGGGAAAGGAGCCCTGGTGGCACAGTGGTTAAAGCACTTGGCTGCTAACCGAAAGGTTGGCGGTTCAAAACCACCAGTGGCTCTGTGGGAGAAAGATGTGGCAGTCTTCCATCAAGATTTATAGCCTTGGGAACTCTTCGGGGCAGTTCTACTCTGTCCCTATAGGGTTGTATGAGTCGGAATCGACTTGACAGCAGTGGGTTCCTTTTGGAGGCAATTATAACCTAGGACCCTACCCTGCAAGTCCCTATAGGACCTATGTTCTTCAACAGTAAAAAGTTCCAAAGAAATATGCCAGAAGAAACATGCTAGCTTCACATTAGGCAGTGCTTAAATTAAAGGAAGTTTTCACACTGCTAGATTCTACCACTCAACCTCAGCTGGTTTCTGAGACTATTAAAATACTGGTCACAGAACATTGCTGCAATTTCAAAGCTCCAGATGTGACTGCAGGACAATTCCTAAACTATCTTTGAAGAACACTACTGTTTTTGCTACAAACACAGGGGTGTCTTGAGGTATTCCCACCACAGGGGATAGCCCTTTTAAAACAGGCCCCACCAGCAAAACAGACTGGTTACAACTTCAGAACATCTGTGTGGCTGGAGAGCCATAACAACTGCAGGTAAAAAGCAAGGGGAGGAACATCACTCACATTTATGAAGACAATCTTGCCCGTCTCTCACCTGTGCTTGGCTGACCAAGTTCCAGTGCCTGGCTGAGCTGAGACTGGCTGTGTCTCTGAGGGTGAGACCCAGGCCTGGAGAGGCGGCTTCCTCTTGCCAGAATTGTCAACTTTAGCTGCGGAGCCCTCTGCTGTTGCTTTTTTTGGAGATTCTGCTGTACTAATGTGGTGAGTGTTAGAATGTGGAGAGCTAGGGACAGACTGTGTGGCAGAACAGGGCTCAGAAAGGGAAGGACTGGAAACGGGAGAGTCCAGGGACGTGCCAGGAGGCTGGCTTGGCCTCCCATTTCCCTCCAGTTTTTCTTCCTCACCACCGCCAGGACCTGGCAGCTGTTTATCCAAGCTTGAGCTCTTGCCAAGATGTGGTTCATGAATTCCTAAAGCTGCAGTTTGCTCTGAAGAAGTTGTAACAGAGGCTTTGGGTGCTTTGGATCTGAAGTCACACGGGCTCTCTGCAGGTACTGCGGGACCATCTCCCATGCCACTTGGTCGCTTTTTCTTCTCAGGACAGGGAGGTAATATGCTTAAGGAGGAAGCTCCTACTTCCAGAGTTGCCACCCTTACTGTCTCTCTGACACCTTCAACCTGGTCTACTCTTTCATCATCCGATGCAACTTCAGGAATGGAAGGCAGGGTTAGGTACAGATCGGCCATGACTAGAGATTTAACATCTGCGGCACATGGAAGATCACTTAGGGGATCAGACAGTAGGCCTTCATGATCACTGGCTTTGCTCTGATATTGTTCCATAAGGGCATCATCTTCCTCAGTCCTAATGAGTGCAGTGTCTTTCTCTGAGCTTGCTTCACTCATGAGGGCTTCTGAGAAACTCTCCTCATGATCTGCCATGGGAGCCAGCACACCACAGTCCAACAGCCCAGGTTCAGCCACACCTTCCCTCTCTGAGTCTTCTGTGTGGGGAGACTCAGAAGGCTCCCTGTCACACACACTTTCAGTGGTAGCCCTTCCACGGGTCAGCTCCTGGGGATTACTTCTGTCCTCTTCTATCCATCCAGTGGACTTCTCCACCTCCTCTTCTGTGAAGAGCTGCTCAGAAAATGACACACGCTTCTTGACTTTCTTTTGGTCTTTACTGGGATTCAGACCCATCTCTTCATGTTTCTGTGTCACCGAGTCAAGTGGGGGGACTGATTCTTCCATTTTAAGAGGGGGTGCCACTTCTTTAATTGCAGAAGTCATCTCACCTTCTTTAACTTTGTTTTCCACCAAAGATCTAGACTGAGTCTCAAAGTCTTTGTTTTCCCCCATCTGTGGCTTCCCCACTGAGCTTTCAATTCTGCCACTTCTGACTGAAAGGACAAATGTTTTTTCTTGGGCCTCTTCAGATAAAGGGATGTAGTCTTGTTCTGAGGATGAAAACCTCAGAAGCTCCTCTTCTTGTTGCCCCACATCAGGCTGCTCCAGGAGACGGTTTTCTGATTCCTCATTGCTGGTGTTCTTCTCTGTCTCTACCTCCCTGGTCTTCCCCATTGGAGAGACTTCTGTCCCTTTACACACTGGATCAGGTGGCTGTTTGGAAAGTGATCCCGAGGCAGAAGAAGTATTATTTGGAACTTGTGTTACACTCTCCTTTTGCAACTCTGCTTTAAGGTGTAAAGATGGTTCTTCAGAACTGGCTTGGCCCTCATCTGTGTAAGGCCAGCTTTCAATAGGAGTGGATGTGGAAATGGGAGCCACTATGGGAGATGAGGAAGAGAAGACGGAAGGACTTTCAGAGGACTGTGTCTCTGAATCATTCCCCAGTTCAGTAGGGAGAGGGGTCTGACCAGAACCAGAAGAGAGAGCAGGAAAAGAGAGAGGCAAGTCAGGGGAAGAAGGAAGCCTGGCTTTGGGTTGAGCCTCTGGAGACACTTCCAGTCTGTAAAAAGGACAAAATAAAATCTGCAGGTCAGTTGCAGATGCATCGTGAGAGACCAAAAAAAAAAAACCATATAAAACTAAAGTTGTTCAAAAGGGGAGAACTTCTTTACATTTGGGGCAGAATCTTAAGAAACTAAAGAAAGCACAACAATACTTAACATACCAAAGGGACAGTTTTATCACCAAGCACATCTGCCACACAGAGGCCTGTTGCAACAGAATTGGAAAGATCCTAAAGCAACAGCCTATGGTCTCTCTTGGTGATAAACACAAAGCCCTGGCATTTGATTACTGCGGGGCAACAAGCATCTAACAAGTTAAAAGCAGTAGAAGGTGTATCACAAGGCAACAGGCACAGATTCTGAAGAGGAACTGTGTGTGTGTGTGCGTGTGTGTGTGTTTGTGTCAGATCAAAGTAAGCAGAATCTCCAAAAAAGCCTCACACCCAGGCCACAGAGGTATGTCACTGTGAATGTGAGTCATGCCAAAAAGAAGAAACTCCCCAAGGCCCACTTGGGCTCTTGCAACAGGAGGCAGAATGAACACACAGAGAACTGTCGCAACCCACTCAGGAGTGGACCTCATGCCAGCAAACCAATATGCCGATGTTAGGAAAGGTAACACTTGGCCTCAAAAGGAAATTTGCAACAAGAGCTCAATAAACATACGTTCTGCACGTATCACAACCCAAATCTAGTATTCCCAACTTGCAATACCCAGGACCTGCTACAAACCATGGCATGAACTTCCACTGGGGTCTGATTATTATACTCAGATGGACAGGCCACACCTGCTGGACTAGCGGCTTTGGGCTGGGCAACGTTATTTTGATTTGTGCCGGGCAGGCTAGGCAGGCAGCAGGGACTGGTTAAAAAAAAAAAAATGACTGAGACTAGTAAACCTTTGGCATATACGCGTACTACCATGGAATAAGCAAGGTATGTTTTAACGGTAGGCTTTGCTGAGTACCATGAGCAGTGTGAGGTGGAAGGCCCTACATGAAAAGAGCCAAGACTCACCGTGGTTTGACGGCTTTGGTCTGGGGAGCCCTTGCAGAGAAGACAGGTGGCTTAGGTTCAGATTTGGGCTCTGGCTCAACTGCTGGTTCTGTGGTCTGCATTTCTTCAAAGGGGTTCAGAGATTTACCCCATCCGGAGACAACAGCTGAAGTGTCTTTCTCTGATTTTTTCATAAGGTCTTTAACAGGCTCCGACCCATCCTCCCTTGGTTTGATTTCTGGGAGTGCACCTTCCTTCTCCTTTGCTGGGATGGTAGGAGGGCTTTCGCCTTCACTGCCCTTAGCCACGTCCTTCTTTCCCGTCACCAGAGAAAGCAAAGAGGGCTTCTTGTTCTCCTGCTTCTTGCTCTCTTTGGTGTCTTTTGCTGCCTCCAAGTTCCCTGGGGCCGTGTTTCCCCCAGTGTCCCCGCTGACCACTGGTCGATAGGATGGCAGAGACATGGATTTCAAAGGGTCTTTTGTGGAAGATTCAGAGAGCTGCCTGTCAGAAGCCACTCCACCTGCTTCCCCAGGCTCCTTCCAAGACTTGGGAGCGAGATTTTCTGTGGATGAGAATAAACGCTTCCTGTTGAAGCCCTGAGGGGACGGGGAGGAGGAAGGGGTACTGTCCTTGGTCTCACTCTTGGATTCTGGCTGCTCCAGGTAAACATGGTTCCCATTGATACAGACGTTAGAGCGGGAAAGGGTGTCATTCTTTGACCGAAGGCCACCGAGAAAAGAGAGTCCTTCCTTTTTGGACAGGCTGAAGTTGATCTGGTTCAGTTGCTTGGGATCTGCGCTTGGTGTTCTCTTGTGAGTCATGACTATGGGGAGAACAACAAAAAAGAGGAAGGGGATAAAAAGTTAAACAAGCAGTTCACAAGTGGGGGGGTGGCATTTGTCAATGACTGGAAACATATTTGGTTGTCACAACTAGTAGGGTGCTACTGGTATCTAGTGGGTAGTCAGGGATGCTGCTAAACATCCTATAATGCACAGCACAGCCCCCCATAACAAAGAATTATCCAACCCAAAATGTCAATAGTGCTGAGGGTGAGAAACCCTGTGTTAAATCAATGAAAAGAATAGCACTCTCGGTAGAGTAGCAGAATCTGGCCAAAAGTAGGGATTTGGTAATTGAAATTGAAGTTCGAAATACACAACTAATTCAGAGTAGAAGGAACTGGATTCTTTTGGTTCCATCAGAATGTATCCCATGCGGGTTAAAGCACATAACAGGAGCCCAATAAATAACTGATAAATTACTGAAATATCAGAATTACCCTAAGGTTGTATAATTACTATAAAGTTTTACCATTAAAAAAAAAATTGATATACTTTTTGTTAGCTTAAAAAATGTGTACTAATACACTTTAGTTACAGAACCAGGCTTTTGGGTTTTTTTTTTTTTTTTTTTTTTTTTTGGTGAAAATACACACAGCAGCTCATATACCCATTCAACAATTTCCACGTGTACAGTTCAATAACATTGGTTACATTCTTCACAATGTGTCACCATTTTTGCTATCTCTCCCCATATTATTTCACTACCACTGACTTAGGCTTACTACCCCATAAAGTACTCATCTATTCTTTAAAGTTACTATTGTCAATTTGATCTGATATATATAATTCTTTAAAAGAGCATAATGCTCAAGGTGAACTTTATTAATTCAGCTAAATTGTTGTTTAGTTTGAAGATGATTTCAGGGGATAATTTCAGTTCAAGGTTCAAAAATTTTCTCAGGGCAAGAGATTTGGGGGTTCCTCCGGCCTCAATTGGTCCAATACGTCTAGATTCTTTAAGAAATCTGAAATTCTGTTCCACATTTTTACCCCTTTTGATTAAAACTCATCTATTGATTCCTTGATCAAAAAGTTCAGCAAGGGTAGCTGGGCACCATCCAGTTCTTATGATCTCATGGCAAAGGAGTTAGTAGTTCATGGAAGCAACTAGACCAGTGCCAGGCAGTTTTTAAAAGTATTTATACATTTTTAGAAACCAGAGGGCTTAGAAGATAGAGAGGGCCTCCTAACCAAGATTAAGATACCCCATCGTCTTCATTCTTATCCTCATCATCTTAGTAACTAAGAGCTGAATTAAAATCTTTTTCTCAAAATGTGTTTTTGTGTGCTTATGCGTGCGTACACGCACACACATGCACACACGCAACGTTTGTTTCTTCTCTCTCAGAGCAAAGTAGGCTAAGTTAAGGAAGAAAAACCAAGTCAAAGAAGAAAGAAACTCACTGTCTGAGGCGGAAGAGGAGTCATCCTCGTTGTCGTCATCTTCCCACCGGGACGGTAAGTCTCCAGGACGAAGCAGCACTCTGTCTGACTTGGAAGTAGGCAGGACGGACATGGACTGAGAGACTGGTGTTTTCTGCAAATTAGACTTGGAAAACAAGGTCTTGATCTTTGATTTCTTTCTCTTATCTTTTGTAGAAGATTCATCATCACTGTCGGCTGAGGGCGTCACGCTGGGGACAATGGCAGAAGCAGAATCTGATGCACTATCCTTGTTCTTCCGCTTGATCTTGTCTTTTAGTTTTCCAAATGGGTTCCGAGACTTATCTTTCATGGAAAGGTCAAACATGCTAGCAGTCATGTTATTTCTCATAAACTGGATGTCAACCTCAATTGCTCCTCGCTCTTTATCCTTCTTTCCTGGTTTGGATTTCAAGGTATACCACCTACAAGGAGAAAGACTGAGCAGTTAGTTACCTTAGAACTGAAGAGCCTGAAACAATGGGTTTTTTTAACTGTGGTAAATATATAGATATTGAAACAATTTTCACAAATGATCTCCAATCCTAACTAGCCTCTCCTCTCTGCTACTACCAACTTCATACACAAACACATTCTTACGCACTCTGTTTTCGCAGGGGCAGTGGGCGGGGTGGAGGATGAGGGCAGAATTTTTGAGAAGACACTCATGAGGCAAAGATCTGGTCTGATTCTGTACTTACTATATAATCACCTAAACTCCTGATTCGGTAAAAAGCTATTTCTAAAAAAAAATTTTTTAAATAAAATAAACATTCTATGAAGTCATTTCCTAAGACTGGTATTTTCCTTTGATAGAGTAAAAATTAAAAAATCATACACCAATGGCTAAGAATATAGTGCGCAAATCTATATGTAAATCTCAGAGAAAGATCAAGAGTTTGTAGTAAGGAATAGTCCCTGCCAGGAAGTAATGGAATACATACGACGGAGATTAAATCAGAAAAATGAATATTTCAAACATCATTTAAGTATTTCACCTGGTCATCTGCAATCTACTTCAAGATATGGCGGATGGTATTGTATCAGTCCAACTCCACTGACTGGTTTGTGGGCAGGTAAGCACTGACTGGTCTGTCTCAAAAATAACCTTTCTGTAGTTAAAGCAACATTCCAGAGAGCAGATAGAGAAATGACTTCAAAGATTCAGTTCAAATTTTTTTTTTTTTTTTTGAGCACCTACTACATGCCAGACACTTAAAAAAAAAAGAAAGAAAGAAAGAAATCTCCCCTTGGTATTCATTTTCCATCTGAGAATCTGGTATCTTTGGTGAGCTGCAAGAATGTGAGCCTGGTTAGTGATATAACCACTACGGGACAAACAGCTCCCAATACAGGGTCACCCTCACAAACTGAGAACCCATATTCTGATGTTCTTTCCAGTGACCTAGTTAAGAGCTGAGGGACGTGGACTTTAAGGAAATGATGATTTTGTCCAAATAAGTACAACTTCCTCTTTCTCCTTCATCTGGGTCTTGCTCACAGGGCTGATCGCTACCTCCACAATCTTAGCTCATTCTACACTCAGAGAAAAGGGGCTGGGGGAAATAGAAAACTCACATTTAAATGGCACCTACAACATACCTGGCACTGGACACACTTAGAAACATCCTTATCTAAGTCTCACAAGAATGATGAAGTGGATATTCCACCCATTTCACAGATGAAGAAACTGAGGCTCAGAAATTAGGTCATTTGTAGCAAGTCATGCAACTGTTCAGAGGCAAAGGCAAGATTCTGAACCAGCTCTGCTTTTCCCCAAAGCTCATGCTCTTCTCTCCTCCAGGTTTCCTGCTTTGCACTCTCTCGCCTAACTTACCTTTCATGGGCCATCTTTGCAACACAGACAGAAGGACTCAATTTTAAATTCTTTCTGAGGCAAGTTTAAGCTTCTAATTTAAATGTCCCAAGGTGAAAGGAGAAAACCCATAGCTCGCCATCAGTCAGTCAATCGTAAGATTACATAAAGCCCATCATACAAAGTCATTAAGAAGAATTCAAGCTGCATTAACAAAGTGCATCCCAGATCTGATAAAATGATGCAAATTCCAATTTCAGACCTTCAGGAGAAATTTTTATGGCTCTTAAAACTACAATCCACAGCTGGAGGAGAAAGAAGGGTTGGGTGTTATCATCACATAGACAACATCACTCCTGCCAGCTTAACACCTTTCCAATATATTTTCCAGGGCCAGGCCTGGAATCGTTTGCATATTTGTCACTTAGATGTTGAGAAGACTATTTGTATTGTTCTCTTCTGACAGTCATGTGCTAAACGGTAGCCTAGGTGATGAAAGGTTTTTGTAAATACCCATTACAGACACCTGAAAAAGGGAAGTCGCTGGCGGCTGAATGCTGTGGATCAGATGACCACAGCAGGCAGCTGCAAGCAGGCAGAGCACTTCACCTCTCCATCCCCGGGAGGCGGGTCAGCCTCCACACAGCCTCTTCTTAGCCCTCCCTGGGGATGCAAAGCCGCTACAGGCCTTCAAAGAAGGCCACTTGACAGTTCCTCAGGGCCAGGCTCCCCTTCCCAAAAGTATCAGAGCCAAAGTCTGTTTATTTGGAGAGAAGCTACAGCCAACTCCAGAGTCCTCTCTGGGGGCCTGTTATTACCTGAGGCTCAAATCCAATCCGTTGGCACCAAAGTGGAATTTGTTTTGGAAACTTCCAACACCACTAGGAGGTGTGAACACAAACTGTACCAACTGTCCTTGCTGCTTATTTTCACAAGCATCCGTGCAAACCTAAAACCAAACACCAGGTGGCAAGAAAAGCCACAGGGCTCTTTTAGGATGTGAAAACTATACTGGCTCCTGGGCAGGTAAGCATTCCCTGCAAATGTTCAGAATTTCTAAAAATCTGTGCAGGATTTATTAAAGCTGGAAAGGAGGTCAGGAACTGCTTCTTCTATTATCCAATAGCACTCCTATCATTACATGAAAAAATTGTTTAAGCAAGGGCTATCTGACACGGGCATAATTTGATAACAACAGTGAAAGCCGTAGCCCACGAATGGCTCACCCTGAGAAATCCCGAACCAGGACACTTTTGTAGGTTTTAACCCGTAAGCATCAATTCAGTTTTAACTGTTTCTGAGCCTTTGTTTTTTGGTTCACTTAATTCCTGCACCTCACAGAAGTAGTTCATAAATAATAAAGACCCAGCAAAGGCCACAGAGCAGTATGGGCATGTTCTAGCATTACCTTTCAGGGAGGCCCAGGAAACTTAAGCTATCTCAGAAATCCGGGCTGGGTCCATTTTCCTGGTCCAAAGTGCAAAGCACAGAAAGAAGGTCATAATCCCAATAGAACAACTTTTTTTTTTTTTTTAAAGCTCATATTCTGGAAAAATCCTGCAGCCTATCAAAAAATTAAATGATCCCTTATGTAAGCAAATAATCATTTTCACTTATAATTCAAATTCAGTCCTTCAAAATTTAGAAGAATCTCTAAATATCGAGAAAGTGATAGGAAACTTTCAGAAACTATATTTTAAAGTAATAACTCGGGTATAAACTTGGGGTAGAAACTCAAATCCTACAGCATGGTACAGAACGACAGGCTGAGTCTTCCTACTCCTCCTGGGCCCTGCCTCAGTCTTCCTCCCAGGCATAACCACTGTCACCAGTTTCTCACACGCCCTCCCCGGGGTGGTCTGGGCAAACACAAGCAAAAATGCCTATCATCCAAATAGGCTACCTGACTCTTCTTTTTGGTCATACCCAAGGTAATGGCTAAAAATACACAAAAAGTCATTTAACTCTTCTATACTTTCAAAAAGATGTCTCATTAAAAGAAATAAGTAGAGACAAAGAATAAGGAGCCCTGGTGGCGCAGTGGGTTAAGCACTCCGCCACGAACCAAAAGGTTGGTGGTTCAAACCCACCAGCCGCTCCGCAGGAGAAAGATGTGGCAGTCTGCTTCTGTAAAGATTACAGATTTGGGAACTCTATGGGACAGTTCTACTCTGTCATATAGGGTCGCTAGGAGTCAGAATCAACTCGATGGCAATGGGTTTTTAGACAAAAGATGAACTAGATACAGGTAAGGAAGACACACACGGGAACAAGCTGCAGGACACAGATCTACCTCCCAAGTAAGCTGGCTGGGGGCTAGTGCCTGGATCCACATTGTCAAAGCTCTTGGGCTTTTAGACAGTCATTCTGGGAATGGTTACAATCATCTAACCATACCAGTTTGCCTCAGTACAGTTTCTCAAACACACTGAAAGCTGGCCCAGGGGGCCTTCCATCGGAATGTGGCCGGGGCAGGGCAGTGCGGTTCCTGTTATTGGGAAATGCAAAGTCTCACGGTGCATCCCTAACGACATTCAGGACTACACTTGTGAAGGACTGACTGGTATGTCTCAAAAATAATCTTTCTGCAGCTGCAGCAAACGTGTTTTTCCTTTAAAGCATTCCAGAGGACGGGCAGAAAAATGATGGCTTCAGAGATTCAGTTCAAATAAAATAAAAATTTTTATTTTTGAGCAACTACTACATACATGCCAGACACTGGAAATACAAAGAGACCAGGCCCTGCCCCTAAAAAGCTTGCCCTCCAGTGTGATAAAAGCAGCTCACCAAATATAACAAAGCATTTGTAATACTGGGAAAACCGCTACCTATTCTTTATTAACTTTGAAGCATGGGGAATTAATTAAATATGAAAAGAAACTCCTGCTAAAACATACAATTTCCTCACAAATACAGACATTCACACACAAATAAGTCTCTCAGCTAATTTAACCCTCCAAGGGGCTATAAGAACTAGCTGCTTAGGAACTCTTCAGCAAAATGAATAAATACTGCATCCTTGTATTCAACATGGAGTCCCTGGGTGATGAATGTGGTTAATGCGCTCTTAGCAGCTAACTGAAAGGGTGGAGGTTCAAGTCCACCCAGAGACGTTTCAGAAGAAACCCCTGGCGAACTACTTTTGAAAAATCAGCCACTGAGAACCCTATGGTACACAGTTCTACCCTGACATACACGGGTCGTCATAAGTTGGAATCGACTCAATGACACCTGGGTGTATTCAATACAGAGGCTACAGGAAAGCAAAGGCAAAGGAGGACAATCAGCTCTACATGTCACTTCAACACTTTAGATGTTTTAGTAGTTGATTTCAAGGGATAGTTGTCTATGGGTCCAGTGTGGATTCACAGCCTACTTCTTGTTTAAAATTTCAACCATGACTTGTAGCATTTGTCATCTCCACAGTAACCAAGCATCATGAGACAGGGGATTATGTCCTTCAATGAGGAAAGAAGCAGGAAGGGCAGAAGAGCATCTGACATCCTGTTTGGGACAGAAGATGCATTCGACGTTGCTTAGATGAAGAAATTTTTAAAAAGCAGTTCATTGTTTTCCCTATGGGATGAAAACAAAGCTGAAAATCATCTG